ATACACTTAATAGTTAAAGATGAGTTTTTAAAATACATAAGTTATTTTAGGATTAAGGTTTTACTTCAAAAATACTTTTGTGGCCTATGTTATATGCTACAAGAGTATCTGTTATAGAAATACAATATTGATAATGTAGAGATTGTTAATGAATGATCTTCAACATAACCTTCGACGTTACAACGAAATATTAGATAACCTACATCTTCAAAGTGTAGTTCCAATCCATACTATTTATCGTGGCATATTAATGTAAACATGTATGTGTATTTGGCTATATATGAAAGTTATAGTTATTACAATAGTACATTTTCATTATTCTCGTAATAAAAAAAAATAAGTACCTATATACCTTCGTCCTGCAATGAAGTCAATTTAAAACCAACTGACGACAGTAGGTGAAATCCCCAGCGAAGCAAGATTTATGGAGAGCGAAACCAGCTCGAAATACATATCGTTCATGCTAGGAGCCCAGGAGGATATTAAATGTCATAATTTATCAAAGAATGTATAACTTATTTAGTTTGTATTTTAAAACTAACTTTCATTTCTTTTATGCATTTTTTTTGTTTTAGTTTCATATACTTAAAATCTTACATAAAGTATTAGAGATTAATATTCAAACAAATGTATTGTTCCAACTTAAATACATAACACTGTTATTACATAATATGTAATAACAGTGCAACCGCTGCCTATACCTATATGGTACATTAACAGCGCCACGGTGATCAAGTCATGAGACGTCCATGATACACCTCATACGTTGCTATTGATGAGAACTCAAGCCGAAATACGTCCTACAAAGTAATCTGATTTGTGGCTGAAATAGGTGAGGTCTTATTTTATGCAAAGTACTTAAAGTATAAAAAAAGTACCTCTGTTTAGAAACTAGTCGACTGGTACATATTATAAATTTATGGTGTACTAAGTATGGTAATCATGTCATAGAAACCTAGTCATAATACACTTACATGATTTGTTCACGTGAGCTCATTGAGGAAACGCTCCTTAATTCAAAACTTTCCTGTTTCAAACTTTTTGAGTCATTTAACAATTTAGACTGTATTTGGGTCTTAGAAAAAGAATTTAATTGTTTTTATTGTCTATTATTATATTTACATAAACACTCATTTATCAAAATAATGTTCACTATCTTTATTTTTATAATAATATAACTTTTTATTTAGTGTACAATTGGCACTGTTCATGTGGAATAAAGTATAAAGATATCAACTTCTAAAATAACTAGTGGATTCGCTCTACTTAATTAAATTTCCAGTTTATTACCACATTTTATAATCAGTGATAAACGACACGACACCAACTTCCACGAAGAATACAAATTCGCAAATTAACCTCGATAATTTTACACTTTTATGTCCTATACCTCATGTAGTAAATAGACGAAAGAAAGTTAATAAGAAAAGTTCGCAAGTAGCTTTAAAAAATAAACTCAAAAAAATCAATAGAAATATTGTAGATACTCTCTAAGAAAATCTTTGGCCCCACTGAGAAACAGCAAACGTTTAATACTGTTACTGTCTAAAAAGCTAATATTAAAAAAAGAATGTTAAATGTGTAAGCATTCAAATCGAATTATTTTTTGATAATTTAGATTGAAGTAGTTCAAATGTTGGTATTCATTAACACATCACTCATAGAAGTTGAATACAAGTTTACTTATTAATCTTATATTAGTAGACACAAATTACTGAAATAAAACTTCTATCAAATGAAATCTGCCCAATCAGCGTCTAATTCTACGTTAAACATCTCTTTGGTTTGGCTCCGATCCCAAAACTGAGTGAGTATTTTCCATTTGTATAAACATTCATGAGAATCTTTGATTGCTGTATTTACTAACATTTCGTTAGTCTATATGCATTAAGGGGACAAGCTCTAATCGTTTTTATGGGGTAGTAAAAAAATTACTCAATTCACGCGAGTTCTACACGCTATTGGATCAGCAAATTGAATGAAACACTGGCCGTTAGCCAGGAATAAACACACAACGGCGTAGCGACAACGCCGATACAATAATACTGCTGAAATTAATTCGAATGGCTCGCAGTCGCAGTGTATCACACGATAGGCCCATACAGTTGCCACTGTGATAATTCAAGTCTAAAGCTAAATAAAACATTACCAATGTCAAGCCGAGATTTAGACGATTTATGATAGGATACAATAAAAAGTGTATCTGTATTGATACTGCGGCTAATTTCAGTATTTGTATTTTATATTCGACATAAAATCACAATATTGTAATATAACTTCATGACTTTTACCATAATTCGGGTAGCCATTGTCAATTTTCGATGCTGTGGTAAATGTGCTCACATTTTACTGTGTATATTTTGAATCGATCAAAGGATTTGTCATGTCGAGATACATGACAAATCCTTTGATCGATTCATCTTCAGATTGATTTGATTTATTATCATTATTTTCAAGAATAAGTCACAAATAACATAGTAATTGTAAGATTAAGTATTTCTGGTGTCGGTTAGATAAGAACTCCCGACATTTGAGTCTATAAATCAAGGCAGTAAAAGCTTATTTGCTTTTAACAAATACTAAATACCTACTGTAATTGTTAATTTGTAATATAGTAAACGTTTAATAGACGCAAGTCCAGTCATTTGCTTCAATAAAAATCATCATCATCATAATTCAATCATTATAAATTCATCTTCTACTACTCGTGCTCGATAGACATAGGTGTAAAAATAAATTACATTAAAAGCATTAAAATGCATATTTTACTCAATATACAGATAACAAATTGTAAACTCTCCGCAAGAAGTTTCTGGGTGTATGCTACTACACATTAAAAAGCAAGAAACTACAAATCCCATTTCGTTTCAAGTTACATAGCAAAATATTTCCTGCCAACAGAATATGTCTTCCTAGTGTACTCGTATACTTGGTAATTGTAAAATATGTGGCATCGAATTTCGCATCTGCATTGCAGCTACATCAATCCCCGAGAGCCTTCTCAGGTCGTCGAGGCCATAAAGACTCAAATAAAACGAGTACAAAGCCGCCAAGAGATAATTATAAGAAACAACGCTAATGTCCAAACTGAACCTCACTAACACTTTGTCCTCTGCCGCTTTGGTCCATTGCATGCCATTAATCTAAGCCGAGAACTCAGCAACTTTAAGAGAGACACTCTGAATAAAAGTTTAAAGTGTTTATTGTTCAGTATATTGAGTTAGAACCGCCATTCTACACATGCAGGTAGGGAGAAGATTGTTAGTATTAACTAGTATCTTATTACTAGTACCTCCACCTGGAAATCATTCTGGTTAAATAGTGAAGAATTCTAAGTGTACAGTGGGGCATTAGAGTTAGAGGGAATAGTTTTGAAATGAGATTAATTGGACGATCTGATTCAAAACTATCCGCTCTACCTCTGATGCCCCACAACGTAAAAAGTTAGCGCAGGCTGGTGCACCATACCCTTACGATCTACTAAAATACCTATATATATATATTTCAATAGCGGCGCCGACATTCCCATTCCCGGAAATAATTTCAACAAAGCCAACATTTGCGGTCGAGATAAAAATCGGGGAAAGCCTTAGCGCAGTTATACCCGCCGCAAACTACAATTAACGCTCTCTGCTCCACTTCGCTTTTAAAAAAGAAAAAGCGAGAACCAGCATTATTCTTGCCAAATAAGCACATTTTAAGGGAGCGACTATACTACCACTCGAATTTAGGATTGTTTGAATTGGTATATATATTATTTTCCTAATTCTATACACGTGTAGGTATGTGAGACATACCGACTATCTGATCAGAATATTCTTGTAATAAAATCGGCATCTATCTAAAAAAATCGAATCAGGGAGCAGTTGGAATAAGTTTTACGGAGTCGTAAAGTTGATGTCGAGAAAATGTATAGTGTGCCGAGAGCGTGCTCTGAGCTTTGGCCGTTCTCCAACTCTATCGACACAGCGCGTCTGCTCAAACTATCAACAAATTATTTAGTAACTCATCTAGACACAATCATTTTTTAGAGCTGTATACAACACAATAAATATGTACATATTATTTATATACCAATAACATACATAATGTAAAACATTGTTCACCAGTTATGAACTAAGCAAGCCTCAGAAACAAATGTTTAGTCATAACACCGAAACATACACATAGGTCATTTAATAAATGTATTAAGAAACGATTTAGTATGAAATTTTCTTATATGACGTAATGCTAAAGCCGTTTTTAAAGAGTTAGTAAACAAAAACGTTCTAGAATAACAAAAATATTCGTCGCTTAAAATTCGTAGCTTCTATATATTTAATATAAACAGCATTACAGCAGGTAGAACTATGTAATGCTGTTTACATTACTGTAGTAAACCAATAAAGTATACAGGATGGGATTTTTACATATTCGTGAGCTTTATATTCATATTACCTTTAAACATTAGACGTAATGTTATATTAGTTAATATTTTATAATCTAAATATTATTATTTATATTGTTAACCGATTAACACGAATAATTATATGGTAAATAAAGGTATTTTACCTTTCTCGACATTTCGACTAGGTTGCAGTAGTCCTGGCTGACAGCGTCGATATACATATATGCCGATAGCTGCCAGCAGTTTTTTCTACTACCGCCATAGATAGACCATCGAAGGATTGCGAAATACAATAGGTACTCACTGTAACCGTACACTTACTAGCTGTACCGGCGGTTTCTGATATATAACCATATTACTACTTTCATCAAAATCCGTTCAGTAGTTAGTCCGTTTGGTCCAAAATTTACTTAACCTACAACCAATTTATTCTTAAACTGTGTTAATCACAGCACATAACGAACTCATGTTGTTGCAGTGATGGGGCGGATTGCGAGAGGAGTAAAGAGCGCGGTGACGTGGGCGTGCGCGGAAGCGGGCGCGGAGGCGAGCGCGGACGCGTAGCGCGGCGCGGTGGCGGGTGCGCGCGCGGCGGCGGCGGCGGCGGCGGCGCATGCACGCCACTGGCCACACGGACCGCTCGGGCGGCGGCGGCGGCGGCGGCTCTTGGCGCCTCCCGCCCGACGAGACGCTGCAAGTCGCCGACCCCAAGTCCGCCAAGGAAGACGTAAGTGGAAAACAATTTTACCGAGGCAGACTTTGTACGAAGTACACACCAATGAAATTACAGAATATCCTAGACCCGCCTAGAAACATTAGCTAGGTCATTGATACGAGAATAAAAAATGTGAACCTTCAGCTTCTTTGTCATTCCAATTACTATCGTCAGATATCTCTGTCACACTAATTTCTGCAACCACGTTTGTTTTAAGTTCCGTTGCGGTATCGAAAGTTATATACATTAGAAAAGTGTCTTTATTTCATTAGTACGTTCTGGAGTCACCTACCACAATTTGTCTTCTTTCCTCTACCCAAAGGCTGTCTGAAAGAGATTACTTATGCGATAAGACCGCTTTTAGTACCTTATTTCTTTAATATATGTCCTTTATAATATCTGGTGAAATTAATAAATAAAAGTATCCGTGGTGCAGTTCCTATATTATTGTTATATAATGCGGCCATCAATCAGACAATATCATCATCATCGACATGATGACATCATAACCTTTTTTACACTTCCCTTCCAGGATCTCTATCAAGGGGATGGACACAACTGGAGAAGCATCATATTTTCATTGATGGTCATCAGTTTTGTTATTGCTGGAATCGTGACTGCAATTTATTTATTAGGGTAAGCAAATTGACCTAAGTTACTCTAACCACTGGTTCTGACTTCACTCTGCTTGAATAATCCAGTTAATATTTATATAGTCATATAAATTATGTCTACATAATTATATTTGATAATAATAATAGAAATTTGTTTGTGTTTTATATTAGCAGTAGTAAATGGATCAATTGAAAGGAATCTGATATATAAATATTTTAATAAATCTAAATATATAGCGATAGAAAGCACTCATCAATACAAACAATCATAATCATGAATTGAAAAGCTTTTTCTTATGAGGAATTGAACCTGCGACCATCGGAAGTGCAGCGTATATAATTCACTATATTATATGACATGACTGTCAATGTACATATGTTGATTGCAGTTATGTGGACGAATTATTGTACTGGTCGGGTCGACGTATGCGCTTGGACGAGTTCCTGCGCGGGGATCTGACGGGCGACCGGCTGCCGACCACGTGGGTCAGCACCCATCAACTCGTGTACCAGGCGGACGACGGCGGACTACTCGCACTAGACACATTCAACAACACACTATCCGTGCTCGTCACCAATCACACTCTCGTAAGTGCATACAGAATCCGAATCACAACTATAACTAACTATATATTTTGATACACTCAAAAATTTCAATCATTCGGAATTAGACTTTAAATTTAAAAATATTCCAAGATGTGGAACTTTTAAGTTAGTCAAATATTGCATTAGGTGTATGATATATTTAATCGATATTAATTTAATCGAATTATGTAATCTTGAAATTAAATATAAAAAACAGAATCATTTAAATATATTCGTTTAGATTATTTATTTCGTTTAGCAAGATTAACGATCTAACTTTACATTAAACAACAGATAATATAACATTACATATAATAATATGTAATTGTTCTAGGTCAATTAATAATATTCACATAATTGAGCAGTTCTTCAAACAATATATGTGAACCTAACGTAATGCAAACATAATTATGAATTCCATACAATATTTTATTATACATAATATTTAAGTATTTTTGATAATTGATGCAAAAATACTTAAATTACCATCTCAGTATATAGTAATCATACGTAGCATTATTGAATCCATTAAGAACCATTAAAAGAGACTAAGTGAATTAGCCATATTTTTTTAATCTGTAGAATACTGCATTATTAGTATACTTACTACTTATATAGACAGTAAATGACGTGCATTTCATCATTTAGATAATGCACCGCAACTACGCACCCATAGCGTCGAGTAAAGTAATTATTTTCATCGTCACTCCCTGTCTGAAAGCTTTCTGCATTCACCATTATGGATAGTGGTCATGGTTGCTGTTTTGTAAATATACAGAGATCCATATAAAATACCTTTATGCAAATGCCCTATTACAGACACTTATGATAAGTCAAATCTAACGTCATGAATGTAAATGATGTAATTACGTCAATGAAAATGAACCCATATGCCACCAAGAATTTTAAGTAGAATAACAATAACCTACGAGTATCTACGAGATTTAACAAATATTTAATTATTACTTTACATTTTAATTTGTAGAATTAAAAGTAATCTTTATTCAAATAAACCTAATAAAACCACTTTTGAATAGTCATATTTTTTTATTTTACCTCTCATTCGGAACGCAGACTCACTACGAGAAAACGAGCAAGAAACTTACGTGATGCTCTTTTAAATAAATGTAGTTCAGAATTTCATTTTTAAGAATTTTCTGTGAATTCATATAAATAAATGAATAGTTATGTAAAATCTAATGATATTTAATTATATTCATTATCTACCAGTAATAAAATAGTTACATTGACAAATCATATGAACTAATTGAAGTCAACCAAAGTTTCCTATGCAGGACTTCTTTTCAAAACTGGAACATACTATATAGACTATGCAAATATTTTGGCTATTAGGCTTTTCATTTCATTATTGCCAATTGTAAATATATATCTATTGTATATAAATAAATATTGTTGTCATTGACGCAAAAGAAGAAGAAAAAGAATGTAGATTATTCCAAGAATCTTTAAAATGTATTTAAAATGTAAATGTTGCTTGCAGAGGCAGCTGAATGTGCGAGGCTACCAATGCTCGCCGAACTTGCGCTACGTTCTATTTCAACACAATATCAAGGAGGTCGGTAACAATTACGCTGTTAAACTTTTAATTGGTTTTTTATAAAATAAACAAGATGATCGTTACGAAGTTCTGTGCCGCGAACGAACGATGAAATATTTAATGAACGATATTTAAGTTTTATTATTTTACAGGTTTATCGGCGGACGTTTACGGCACACTACACAGTTTATGACGTCACAAATGAGTGAGTTGCTTTTGATATTTGACGCCCCATCGTAAAGGTCGTGTTGGAGGCCCTCGAGATTTTCATAATTATATTTCCGCTTGCAAATTGAATTTCGTATTCCCAAATTGGTTTTCACTCACCGCACCCCCGCACGAGAGCACGGCTGATTTTTCCTTTCTGTATAATTATCAAGACGAACACAAACTATACAAATCTTTGTTCTAAATTGCAAACATTATATACCTACTAGCTGTTTCCCATAACTTCATTATATAATAAATTCGTCTGATTTTTTACATGTAAGTTAGCCTATATCCGTTTATGGTACATTTTATTACAAGCCAAATATTATAAAATTCAGCAGTCTAGTAAAAAGGTAACAAGACAGACTAGCAGGCAAACTTCGCATTTATAATTTAGGTATGGATTATAGCAAACATACAGGTGGCCGATGAAATGATGGTATAAAGGGAATACATTTTATAGTTATTATTATAGTTTCACAAGTACATATGTAGTACAGTGTATATTCCCATAGCGCCAAAACCATTTTCATAAATTGAACCTTCAGTTTATTTACTATTCCCAGCAATATACATAATAACATATAATTTTCATTTCATTTATCATTCCGACAGTTTGTTTTGTTAAGATAACTCCATAGAAATCAACAAAAACAATAGTAAACCCACGAATCCATTACGAAAGCTTTATAAACTGGATTATTGGCCCTCAACGAGGGTAGTGATTATTTTTTTTATTGTTGATAGATTTACTTACTTTACACTTGTCTTATACGTTTCCAAAGTAGGTAATATATAATAATATCCATCTGTAATTATAATATTTAAAATAAATGAACACAACATAATGTATATACTTACATATAATAAAAATAATATAATAATGTCAGGACAATTCACACAGCCCCATCTAGACCCAAGTTAAGCTAGCTAAAGCTTTTGTTATAGGCGCTAGAGAACTGATAAAAATACATAGAAAATATCCAGACCGATACAAACAATCATACTCATGAATACAAATGTTTGTGCCGTGCGAGGAATCGAACCCGCGACCATCGGAAGTAAGGCGGTGTGCTAAACCGCTAGACCACCGAGGTCGTCAAATATATTTTCAAAGTAATAAGTAGTAATATTCCATTTTCATTGATTGCGTTTAGAGATTGGCGAGAGCAAGTGAATAAGTAATTGAAATTCATATTAACTAACTCAACTGGGTTAGTTAAATTTGATATTGTGACCAAATTGTACAATCAAATATTCCGATTCCACGAAACATATTTATGTTTCCTGAACGTTGAAAATTTAATAATACATTGGACTGTATTCTGTTAGAATAACTAGGTAATATAATATTACAACATCAAATTATTTATGATTACTAATAGAAAATGTACAGTAAAATATATGCTTAAACGCTAGCTAACAAATAACTAAATTACATAATATATAAATGTTGCAATTACATATTAGGTATATATTTGAATGACATTCTTTTATTAATAGAAATATTTCTAGTCTAAAATTAAATACACAAAAAAGTTATTTAGTTGTTGTTACAGAATGAACGTTATTTTTTATGAATAAATTTAAGTAATATTTTAAAAAGCTTGTACGAGTGCTGGATGATGTCGTTTTCTTAGGAAATTACGGTAGTATGGGATAATGCCATCTCTATTAATAGTTTTCAAATATTACTTGTGTCCACATAAAAAGAATCTAAAATCAAACAAAAGTAACAAAATAAGTATTTTATCTAAAGTTTAATTCATTTGTATAACTAGTCAGCGATATAAAAAATATACTTAAAATCCTGTTTATTTTTAAATGCCTTTAGAAAAGTAATTTTAAAAAGTCGCTTTCCAGGCCGCGACTCTTTTTACAATCATAATGATATCTTCTTTGTGAATTTCCTTTCGTCCGCTCTCTTTCCGGCGACGAAATCGATTTGACGGTAGTAACCTACGTGAATACGATTCTCGATTTATTTCAATTTTTGCGAGTAGAATTTTAATGCGACTCGGTACGTCTATCGTAATTCCAGTGAGCTATAACGCTGTTACACTCATTGGAAAATAAAATTTACTTAACTGCAGTACTAAAAGAAATTTTATTTTACTTCTGCATTATTTTTTTATCACATTCTATGTATACTTTGATTATTCACAATTTGTTGAAAAATGGCACAACATTAGAAATAGAAATCATGTTTATTCAAATATACTTAATATAAGCACTTTTGAATAGTCATATTTTTTATTCAACTCATTCGAAACGCAGATACATCACAAGAAGAATAAGCAAGAAACTTGCATTGCTATTTTAAATAAATGTTGTTCTTAATTATATTTTATGAATTTTGTGTGCATACAAAAACACAAACTGCGAAATAGCAAATTTAACATAAATAATATTTACTAGTCCCAAAATTCATCATCAAAACCAAAAATCAGTCATAGTTATCAGAGCAGAATAGTCTATGCTTACTATGCTTTAAAATATATAATATACATATACATTGGTCGTCTACTGAGTAAAACTACGTTGTACCGTCTGAGTGTCAAGCTTAACCTATTTCCGCCACCAAGCAGCATGCTTTGAAATCTGCTTTAGTTTGTGGGGTAAGAAATGGTAGTGAAAGTACAAATTATAGAAACATAACACATCTGTCCTCTAAAGTGCCAATACATAAGGAGTTACTTAATGATGTATTCTAGTATAGTTTGCGTATATACAAGCGACGATTGCCACTTTCAATCACGTGGGCTGTCAGAATGTTTGTAACTACAGTTACATAAAAATAAATTGTCAACAGCCACCACATACCGCTGTTTGGCGATGGCCAAAGCAGTTGGGAGTGGCAGTTCGCGGCGTGGCTTGGCGCCGATGGGGCCTTACTGCTGGCGGCGGATAACGAAGTGCTGGCGAGGCCTGGGCCGCCAGCACGCCGCGCGCCGCCATTACGCCTCACGAACGACGCGTCCCCTGGACGCGTTTACAATGGGGTCTCCGATTGGTTATACCAAGGTTTGTTTAGAACGTTATCCGCACTTAATAAGTATACCGTATATGTATATAAAGTAAGCTATTAACGAAATATCAATCAGTGTCTCTAAAAAATATATTTTTCCATAGATACGTGTATGTTTTATAAGACGGCTATCCTTACCTACGTATCAGTGTCTATTGATCACTAAATAACAAGTGTGAAAACACATCACACTTTAGCCTTTTTCTACCTATGTCTACCGTTCTGCCTGCTAAGATCAGTATCGCAACAGATCACATCCACAACTTCACGAATAGTTTTCTTTACGTTCTCTTAGACCGCCCATAGTCGAAGTGCACTTATTTGGTTGAATGAATAATTTCCATGGTTGATGACAATATACGAGTATAATAGTTCTTAATTTGTACGAAACAAGCAAATTTCTAAGTCATTTTGCAATAGACCATTACGTCTAATATCTATCTCTACATATAAATTAAAACAACACATTCATAATATATTTATTAACAATTTTTACAGAGGAGGTGACGAAAACCCCATCAGCAACTTGGGGCTCATCTGACGGCACACTCGTAATGTATGTACAGTACGATGATAGTGCGGTCTCTGAGCTACGGTTTCCTCGAATCTCCGAGGGGATCGGTGGAGCCGGCGCCGCCAGGTCCGGGTTCCTACTACCCACAAACAATAATAGTATAGCCACAGTCTTCCCAGATCATATAACTATCAGATATCCAACGGTAAGTTTAAAGTGGGTTTCTTTTTGTAGTCCTATCAAGTCGTTTGTCATGTTCTTTAGTATAAAAAGAGATACAGTACTGATATATTGATTAATTTATTTCAGCCTGGCAGTTCGATACCTAAGGTAAAATTATGGATAGTTGTAGTGGAAAATACAACTTCTCCCATGAGATGGGAAGTCAGACCTCCGGGTACATTGGATGGAATGTATGTAACCAATATTTACCTAATTATATTTATTTATAGTTTCTATTTCTGACTTATGGGTCTTGTTTCAGGGAATATTACCTCATATCAGCCCAATGGGTGGGCAAAGAAAACTCACATATAGGGGTAGTGTGGATGAATCGTGCGCAAAATCTTACTGTTTATAGCAGCTGTTATGCACCTAACTGGACTTGTACTGAGGTATTCAATATTTTGAACTTCCTATTCACAATTTTTCAGAAGCCAACAACTAGAAAACAGTTTGTATACTATACTCACAGTTTTGTAATCCTGTACAGATGAGAGGCCTAGCGTGAAGATAGATAAATATAGACGCTAAAATGAGCAATTAAATTTCATACTTATTTTGTAACTATAAAACTATATAATTGATTTCTTCTAAAGTTAATCTCTAAAAGCTAAAATTATGCACCAGTTTCATATATTTATGAGAAATTACACGAACAAATTTATCTCTTCGAGTTCATTACGCTCGCAGTTTTGTTTTTAAATATAGGACCAAAAGATTATAAGCGCTGCAGCTTTGTTCTGTGTTGATTACCTATTCACCATACATAAAACGATTCCGATTTCTTTTATCAGTATATTTATTCTTTCAGTTCCTTCTAATAGCTGTTTTTGTAATTGGTGAATAAAAAAACTATTAATTTAATTCTCATAGTACTGATAGACTATGCCTAGATTCTATATTTATGCATTGTTACTTCGGATATGTGAATATTTATATTCAATTGATAAATCCATAAAATTGTATTACAATTGCTATTCAATTTATTCCACAGACGCATTCAGAAAAAGCAACAGACGAGCCGTGGTTGGAAGTGCATCAACAGCCGGTATATTCAGAGGATGGCAGCGCGTTTCTCCTGCTGGCAGCTGTGCAAGAGGGCGGCGGTCAATATTACACGCACATCAAACACGTAGACGTGCTACGACAACGCATCGCTGTGCTTTCACATGGCAAGGTGGAGGTAGCAGAGATCCTGGCATGGGACCAGGAGAATCATTTAGTTTATTACTTAGGTACGTACATTGCCATTAATTAATCGTAATTCAATCAAAAGTTAGAAAATCTATGGAAGAAACAATTGTGATATTTTTCTTTTTTATTAAAGGTTTAGACAAAGAAAAGTTGTACATACCTAATCTGCATCCAGATATGGTGAAAGAAGCTAATCAAATTAAGTATTAAAATTGAGTGCAGTTGAGTGTTATTTCTGGAATAAGTAGTGATTTTAATAACCAACTTATCCCATTATCGCATCAACTAACACTATCCATTTCATCCATCCTTTTGAAAAGGCAAAGCACGACTATACTATTGGAATACTATAGGGATATTGTGTGATGTTTTTGTGAGCGTCTTGTTTTCAATTAGTTTGATTGTATTAATTTCTGGGCAATGATTGATCTTAAGTACTGGTGTACACAGGTAGCGCAGAGAGGCCGGGTCAGAGGCACGTGTATGTGGTCCGGGACCCGAGCTACGGTGGCGGCAGCAACTCTGTGAGGGCGCGAGCGGAGCGCGAGGAACCTCGGTGCCTTACGTGTGAACTGGCCGTTTGGCCAGCTCGACTCCACTACGCTAATTGTTCTTATTGGACAGCCACTTTCTCGCCGCCGAAACCGAGGGTTGGCATATCGCATTATGTGCTGGAATGCGGTGGCCCTGGTCCTCCTCTTGCAGGATTACATGATGCTAGAACACATAAGCTAGAGAGAATATTGTATGACACGAGGCCTTATAGGTATGTATTACCTTAATCAATTATTATAGTGTATTATAGAAAACTATATTGAAATCCATTGCTGAATTTAAAATATCTAAGCGTACGGACAGCGGCGTCGACTATGTTTTATGGTATGTAAAGACTAGTTGAACCCGCGTCTTCGTACCTGTTTATTTTTCTTTGTTTGAAACCGAATGGAATAATAGGACTATCACAAAATTTTAAGCTTACCACAATAATTTAATGAGATCGCACCCAAATTGATTAAGATATTTGTGAGATTACGCGCACAAACGCGTAGACAATGTAGTTTTTCTTATATATCTTCCAAATTCAAACAGCGATCTGTCTGTCTATTTTTACATCTATCTGTCTATCTAGGTATCTATAAATTGCTTTTGTACGCTGCAGATCGGTTCGGCTACGCGAGTTAGCGCTGCCCACGCGACGGTCTTTTGACGTCCAGCTAAGCAGCGGCTCCAAAGCACGGGTGCAACTGCTGTTGCCACCATCATGGCGTGAGGAGTTGCGCGACGCTGCCTTCCCAGTTCTCGTTCATGTGTAAGCACATTTTACATACCATCGATATATAATTTAGTTTAAACTAAACCATTTTCATTATATTATGTAACATTTATCTGAAAATGTTGTAGCAGAAGGGGATGTTTAGATTTTGTAGATTGTATCTAGGTATACCTATAGGTATTTATTTGCTACCGAAGAACAATTCAGACTGAAGGATTTCTACAAAAATATTTAAACATTCTATTTTTGTAATCATTCCCACGACCACGTTGCTGATGTAGATAGTTAAAAGAAGAAAGTAATTGTGATTATAAATTGTTGGACATACTCTTTATCTTGCCGCTAATCATGTCTTATTCGTACCAGATTTCTCACTGTATCCATAATTCCTTACAATGCCGTTAGACCTACAGATTGATGAATATTGAGGGCCACGGTGGTCAAGTGGTTTACAACACCGCCTTACTTCCGACAGTCGCGGGTTCGAATCCTCGCAGAGCACAAACATTGGTATTTATGAATACGTTTGATTATTTGTCTCGGTGTTGTATGTTACATAAATACAACACCGAGACAAATAATCAAAATTTACAAAAAAAATATTGTATTTATATCAGTTGTCTAGTGCCGATAACACAAGCTTTATTATTATTCAATCATATTATCATTTGCTCTCTGCTGATTCTCCAGAGATGGGCGACCAGGCAGCCAACAAGTGACTGAGAAGTTCCTGGTAGACTGGGGTTCGTACATGTCGTCGCGTAATGATGTAGTGTACGTGAAGCTGGACGTGGCCGGGGCGCGGGGTCTGCCCCGTGCACTGCTCCGCGGCCGCCTCGGTGGCGTCGAGGTGGCAGACCAGTTGGCTGTTATTAGGTATACCCTTATTAAAGGCTCGCTTATTAAAAATCTTGCATAGTTCTTTTTCATGATATTTACTAAAATTATAATGTATTTGCCAGCATTGCATTTGTGAATGTATTGAAAAAGCAACCAATCCTCACATAAAAATGAAATTTAATCAATTTGTCAATTTAAAAACTATAATATTTAATGAATTTATTTTGATCGAGGCAACATCAGGCATTGAGTAGTAGGCCTAGTGTTCACTGTTCAGTAGCGTTTGGTCACCGAACAAGTCAACACTAAGCTTTGAAGGCTATATTCGAACTCTTAGAGAATATCACTATTAGAGAAGATCGTAACGGTAGTCAAGCTTCCGCACTGAATGTTTATGGTCTTCCACATGCAAGCTATAGGGAAATGGACTTTCACAAAATAACACATAATGTGATAAAATATACTAGAATATTGAACAAATAATTATTGTTTCAAACCCTTTTTCTAGTTGGAATAAAAAGAATATAAATGACTTGCTTTTTAATTCGCATATTTCACATGCTACTTTGTTTATTTGTATTTATTACGTTATACTCATAGTAGAAGATATCAAGAGTTATCTCTCATTTTCAGATATTTATTAGAGACTTTCAAATTCTTGGACGTTACCCGCGTCGCTGTGTGGGGCTGGGGTTACGGTGGATACGTAACTGCTATGCTCCTCGGCTCCCAACAGTCCACACTCAAATGTGGTATAGCAGTGTCACCAATCACCGATTGGCTTTATTACAGTGAGTTTTCAATTAGAAGTTCATCTCAATATTTAATGCGTTAATTTTCATATCTGTATAATTTCATATGTTTTGACAAAAAACAATATTTTTATTCACACAGTCGAAATAAGTTGATACTAAAAAATCTACGTATTGAAATTAGTAATGAAAGCAAATCTTAATTAAAGACCTTACTAGTTTTATGGGATTCTAAGTATTACAATTTTAATAAAATCGTCTAAGACAAAACAATATTACCATCTATATAATATCTCTAATCAGTGAAAACACGAATTATACCTGTTACATGAAGCCCAATTAAATTGTGATAAAAGTCAAGACAATAGACTTATTTTACCAAGTTAACTATATAATATATGGTACAGTTAACTTGGTAAGTATGTAATGGCTAATTTTTAGACGCTGCGTTCACGGAACGGATCCTGGGCCAGCCTTCGGTGAATTACAAGGGTTACGTAGAAGCGGACGCGTCTCAACGCGCACACCACGTGCCCCCGCACGCGCTGTACTTGGTGCACGGCATGGCCGACATGAGCGCGCCCTACCCGCACGCGCTGCAGCTAGCGCGCGCACTTACAGACGCCGGAGTACTATTCCGCTATCAAGTGAGTTCACTCAAACCTTACAGCTAACGATTCTTATCATTTGTACTACATCTATCACCTCAGACTATAAAGTTAATGACGGAAGATGAAGAAGAAGCACTCTAAGGCTCGGAGTACCCAGTGATATTAGGTCTAGCTTATATTCTGGCTGCAATAACTTTCGCTGTATGCGAAATGTGTGATGAAAAGCTTATGTAACTTAGTTTAGGTAGTATTATCGGCTCATTTTACCCGAATTTGACTTACAGGCTTTTTAATAAGAAAAAATAAACATTTCATTTTTCTTTTCCAGGCTTACGCTGACGAAGGGCATGACCTGAAAGGCGTTATCGAGCACGTATACCGTTCGATGGAGGATTACCTCCGCGAGTGCCTCTCCCTCGACCCCGAGGATACCAAACTACCACCTCCTGATAGATAAAAGTGAAACCCGCTACTAATTAATCGAGCAATAATTTGTACCCGACCATTTCAATACTAATATGCAAATGTTATAAAATTCCTGTCTGTAAATATGTAAATGAAATAGTGCTTTAATGAAATGTGTTCCCCTCGTTTAGTTCAACAATGCCTTCTAATTATAAAATCACGGACATCATTATTTTTGGCAACAGAGAGAGAGCGAGGGCTATGTGATTAGATTATAGAATCGTAACTTATGATAATAAGAAGTCCGTTCTGTTATGACAATTTTGCATTATTAATGAAATTAATAGTTAGCAATAGTGTTATTTATTACTAGATTCATTTCGTAATAGATAGAGAGACAAAAAGAACGGGCTACGATGATTAGATTAATTCTTCAAATTGAATATTTCTCATTCGACCCATGTAACTTCGCTTCGGCACCCTTCGGCTATACTATCATACCGTGTCTTCTAAATCTAAGTAAAGCCTAGATAGCTAATAAATTATGAACATCAATTAATTTTGTAATAAAAACATAAATACATCGTATTGTACATTATGATCATACTGTTCAATATTCATGAACTTCGAGCTTGTCCCCTTAGGCTTTTACTGTTTTTTACCGTCGCCTTCACTATACCAAGTCTTTTTATCGTCCTAATTCTACAAAGGTACGTAGTTTACTGTTAGTTAATTCTTATCGTTAATTAATTCTCTAGTAAAACAACGCATGTTAATGAAATGAATCAATTAAAATAAGAATTAAAAAAAAAATCATTATTTATCATACACGTTCTTTGTACCAGACAAATTTCCATCGTTAACGTTGTTAAATACATACTACCTACATAACGATGAGCTTACCATTTAGAGAAATTTAATAGGTCTTTTGAAAGTAGTCTTTTTTCTGTTACAGCCATTTAAAAATGTTGAGATTTGTTAAAGTATAATGCTGTTAAAAATACCTCATAGGACAATGTAAATAAAATATGTTATTATTCATAAACTACCTTCATACATGAAATTAAATGCATTTTATAGTGACTTATAATGTTTAGAAATGAAGTGACCTTGATCATCCCTTAACCTTAGCTGCTTTTGCTCCATTACATTACCATTTTCTAATCTTCTTAATTGTTACTAATGTTAAACGTTAACGTAATTTACTATTCATCTATAAAGCCTAACACGAGACTCTTGAAAATAACAAAAAGGTCTGAAAAATAATAAATATTATAATAATTACTTTGAAATGATCAAGTAACGGTTACTATCATTAATAAAAAAATAAATACTATGGTAAACATATAGTATTAGCGTGTTTAATAACGCTTCAATAGTTGAAATAGATTTATTAAACATATCTTAAATGTTTAATAAATCTACTATAAACTGAAAAATAGAACAAAGATATTACTAAAATACTATCCAATAAATCTCATGACATAAAAGAAAGAATCTTAAATTTTGTAGCCAGTGAAGAATATCTCACTGTAGAAGTAAAAACTGATATGTTTTGAGTAATAAGCTTGTACAAAATAACTTTGAGCTAGAAAATTTGCCTTTCTGATAGATAAATTCGGCAACGTGTAGGCAGTACTCATTTCATTTCTAAGAGACAAAATAGAAAAATACTATTAATAATAAATCCAAAAGGTTGATAAATAAAAAAAAACGTAGTTAAGGGCCGAATGCTAGTGAAATTTTAAGGATTTACCAATGTTGTTAATTTCACCATAACTGTGACATATTAGATAAAATTCATTGTTGTTGTATAGAGATAAACGTTTGCCGATATTTGTTAAGTGTTATCGGATACCTGCATAGACGCATATCGTACATTCCATGTTTGTGAAGACTGCCAATTTGGTCTAAATTTTACAATCATTGTACTAATTAAAATACATACGATACGTCGATGAGATTAATTTCAATTGCCGTTATGGTCTTAAGGATGCTGTGATTCTTCTATTGCATAATTTTAACGTTATTAAATTAAATTATATTGACTAATAAATAAAATATCCATCTGATATTACGTAGGGCCTAGTGAAATCGAATTCGTTGTAATTATTAAAATTAATTACTATAAGATTAATATTAATTGAGATATTTTGAAATTCTTCCATTATAAAAGTAACAATATTGATTTGTTTTCCTGAAGTTGTAAAACAAATATAGACAATATAATACGGGCTATGTGTACATCACACAACATATGAGATTTTATAGTTAGATAAATACGAGAGAGTTTGAAAACCGGGTGCTTTAAATTTTACATCATGTTGTATGTATTGATTTCTTTAGCAATTGTTCTCTAGTTAATACATTAATATCATACAATTTGCTAGCGGGCGAAGTGCGACATATGGTACATGCATCACAGACCGACGCTTTAACCGCTTTTATTGGTGCCAGAATGGTACACATTGACGACTCCATTCAATGCTACGAACTTAACAACGAGCTTAATATATATATATTACATAAATTATATGACCAGTTGTTTTGTATAATGGCGATAATTTCAAATAAATATAACATAATATTTAGGTACTTAACATATAGAATTTGAAAGCGGTAGAATTGGCGAGTCTGTAACGCATGGATCTCTAGCGCAACGATAAGCTAATATGTAAAGCGTAACGCGATGTACAAGACAGATGCTAGCTCTTAATAATGTAAGAATTCTTTTAAATCTTATGTGAAATTCTAAATACTTACTTAATTCTTAAAAATGTTTCTGCGGATAACACCAATTTCATTCGTGTATAGTATTTTTAATGAAACAAAATGGTAATACGCTGCTTGTTACTAGATTTTAAATGAATTATTAAATCGTTTGCACGCCGCTTAACTCCCAACACTTTCTTTCTTAAAAATGTTTAGTCCTTTAGTCTTCCAGTGTATAGAATGCTTCCCTATCTTGTCTTATTCTTGACGCAGGAAAGTAGGAACTATGTGATGAACTATGTCAATTATTTCATATTCCAGCTCTGATCAGCAATGTTAAATTTATTTATAATATCCTCTGAAGTCTCTAATAACATAAGTTTAGATTTTCGTCCTAGTTTGTCCAGATTCAATGGATGTGGTATAAATGTGAATCAGTAATACTGTGTTCTTAGGATCCCCTGCAAATATAACTACGCTGGACTCGACTTGCAAAAAGTAAATAAAATACTAATTCTCAATATTAAGTATGTACATTTAGTAGCATCTACTACAATCAGGATGTAAAACTAAAAAACTATTAGGAAAACTAAAAAGAAAATGTGCTTTCTTTGCAACTCATATAAGTAACAAGTAACATATTGTAGTTCTTTGGTTAATAGCACCTACCTACGATTGCGTAAAGACGACCTTATTATTGATAGCAATTTTTCAAAGGTCTCTCAATAAACCACTATTCTTTTGATGTCAGTAATAAAGTTTCTGTATTCATAAAATTAGGTTACACTTTTATCTACATACTGATGATGCAATATACAATTGGTTAGATCAGTTATGTTTTTTAACATTTTGCAAGTCGAATACAGTTGAAATGCAGTGTAGTGTCCGCCTTCGTAACTTTAGAGTGCTGCGGAAGGCTCCCTTAGCGGTTAGTTTGATGAACGTGCTTTGCACTGAATATAACTACAATTTAAGTTATAATAGAACTAATCAACATTTTATTACTACATTTGTTATGATTTATGTAATTTGAATAACGATATCACTTGAATCAGAAATTAGTACACCTACTCCTATGACTACAATCCGCAAACAATAGCAGCTCACAATGTCGTGTTTTGCTAAAGAGCTAAATATAAGGACATATAGAACGAGACGTCTAGCTTGTTGCATATATTAGCTTAGATATCTTGTTCTTAACATTCAATTTTATAAATCATGTGTTGTATTTTTGTCCTTCTACTGGTTTCTATAATAAAAGTTATATTCAGTGTTACGCGGTTTGGTGGCCCTAGAAAGCATCTAAAATCTACGTTACCTATTGTTAATCAGTGTTATAAATCTTATCGTCTCGTTTAAGAGTTACAGTGTTGTATAGATCGGTACGTTTCATTTGTAAATTCTGAAATTATTCTGTTATTATTGTAAAGTTTCTTTGAGTAAATAAAATTTTGAAATTTACATAATCGTTCATCGGGAAGTTTTATTTCTATACACGATATACTATTGTATGTCCCAGATATTTAATGCAAGACATATTATTTTTTAAGAGCTACACTAAGTGCTGGGACCGCTATCTCTGAAATTTTTGTTCCATATCTCAGCACTTCGGAAGTATTTCTCCAAATGTTCATTCTTGACCGTTGTGTCAGTAGCACTCAAATATGCGTTACACGTGTTACCGCTGTAGGCCCCATCAGAGTCGTAGTTGGTACGCGATAAGTTACGCATCAACTCGTAATGAGATAAATTCATAGAAATTAAAGATGCATTGTCTGTGCTATGGTTGAAATTGTAACTGGAATTAACATCCATAAACATAGACCCACGTCTTACAGGACTAGAGTGAGCACTATTGGTATTATCACTCACCAACTTGCTTTTCTTTAGTCTACACAGCGCTAAATCCAATGATTTAACAGCATCGTTCACATAAAAAGATTTACGTTTAATAGGTTCGTTCTTAATATTCATCGTAGGCATTTGGGTACTATATGATTTTGCTTTATTCAGTAACTTCTTCTCATTAGACTGTTCGTCATTGTTATCCATATTCAGAGAACAACTGATAATTTAGACACCTTGCATTGGGAATGCTTTTTCTCCTTTAATCCTTTTAATGTATACTTATGTCTAAACTATCGTAATTTTGACAATTTACCAGAAGATAAAGTAGTTTTATTTTTTATTTCATTTTTCTTAAATGACAATTGTCTCTTCAACAAGATATTTAAAATACTAGATGTAAGAAATAAAATATTATGCGTACAGTGGACTTTAATTACAATATTTATATATTTATAATCTTTTTACGATAAAAAGCTTTGAAGTGTTTACATTACATAAATTAAGTGTAAATTCCGCGATTTAAATAAAATTAAAAACGAGACTTTTTTATCTTTTTGTTAAACCAATATTTACTGCCATCTACAATCTACATGTTATAAATTGTTATAAACATGCCGAGTACCCCTTATTTAGTAAGCAGTGACTCCGCACAAAGTGTAACGTTCTATGCTCGAAAGCAAGGGGTGACAGGAATGAATGATTTAAAATACAGAGCATCCACTAGGTGGCGCCACATACACGTTTGTTAATATTAAAGGTCTCTCTCTATATGACACCCTTTTTTAATATAAAGGGATCCCAAACAATAATATTATTTTTGCAATTGCATATTTCGAATTAGGTTTTCATTTATTTACAACTAGCTGCCTGCGACTTCGTCCGCATGGTATTTAACTTATATTTTATTAGAATAAATACAATTTATAATATAAAGGGCGCTTAAATTACTAGGTACTTATAACATTAGATAGCTACGAGTGAAAGTCCAGTCAAATTTGGTCCAGCCGTTTCAAAGATCACACAGACGAACGAAAGATATTGTTTGTGAAAAACTGGTAATTTTAAATTACAAACTTACACTTCAATTCTTGTAAGTATTTGTATAGATTGTTATATATACATTCATTATATGATTAACGTTCTAAGAAAGTTTTAAATAAAAATTAGAGTAATGTTGATGATTATTTATGAAATTTTTTTGTGTAATCTGCACAGGTTCTGTACCTAACACAACTTTTAATACAGTAATTACAAAAAAAAAACATTAAATGTATTTTAATAGACAAAGAGACATATGAATAATATAATCCCTTAGTTAATAAATTTTGTGCACAAAAACTTAATTTTTAATAAATTGTGTACACAAAAACTTAGCCCAAATAGTCGCCTTGAATAATTTTAGATGGTAAATAAGCATCGCACAGCGCTGCAGCAGTTGTTGCGACTGCTTCTATTTCAGCCTTAATACCACTCGACAACATTGCATTTACCTCTTGTTTTAGACGGGCACCTAAAGGAGTAAAGTTTATAGATAATTGAATTAAAAAGGTCGATTTAGGAAAATAGAAATTTAGGTCGAACGTCGTTCGATCGTCGTTAGGTCGAAATTAATTCGGTCCCAGATATATCATCATTTAATTACAATCTGGTGTAAAAACTAAAAAAAATATTTTATATTCCTGGGTAAGTTTCCACTTAAGTAAACACCGATAACGTCGAAATGAAACTAAGAGACGTCAATAAGCTCATCACCTAACTACGTTAAATTCAAATGGGACATATTTCGCTGGTTGAAAACTCCTCACTTTATCTGTACCTGTACCTTGGTACTTATTATTATTTCATTCATTGATATATTTGTTACCTACAAAAGGTTGACTTGCTCAACAGTTCATATTTTTAATTTTAGGAGATTTTCACAGGGTCTTATAATATATTTAAAAAGGAAAGGAAGGAATTAAATCTTAGATTATATTTACCAGTTTCAGTTTGTAGGTAGGGCCTCTTTAGTAACGCTGCAAGTTTTCTTTTATCAAGATTAGTAAGTTTCAGCCTTGCTTCACTAGACGATAAAGTCATCACGTCCTGGACGCTAGCTCCCAGCAGCATTAAGGAAGTACAAGCGAGAGATGAAGAAAGATGCGATTGAGCCTACATGCATAAACATGATTAAAATTCACATTATCTCTCCCTACGCTGTAAGAAATTTGGCGTGAAGATAGATAAAATTGATAGGTTAGCCATCAGTAGAATATATATCTTCCAGGTCAACAAAAACATCAAAAGAGGATACTATATAATTCTACCTGCATAAGTAAAACAATACTTAGGTATAAACATTGTAATTGTCAACTAGGTTAACATATCAAATATTATAACACTAATTAATGGGCTGCACAAGTGTTTTATAAGTATGTGTGTTACAAAATATATTTTAATACCCTTTTTAACATTTAACTTGGCATCATCTAAATGAATGTATGCTTTCTTGCTTTTATTACCCTTTCCCTATTCCATATCAAAATAGGTATGTAACGAACATTTTCTACAACATATTTGTAAAATAACTTTAATATTGTTACACAACCAAAGTAAAGTGAAGTAACCATTTTAGTGTTCCCTCTGAACTCTTTCGACACTCTAAGCTGTCGCCGTAATGTTTCAACGACTTACCAAGGATCCATATTTGTACGTAAGAAAAATTTCGAAGCCATGAGGGTCAGCATCGACCAACGCTATCGCCTTCAAATGCAGCTCATTGCAGAGGCGACACAGCAATTGACGAGTGCACACATCTGGATATCCTTTACCCTGAATATTTAATTCGTTTTAATTACTTGTAGCCTTTAATTTCTTATATTAGATTAGGTATATGATAATTTTATTTACCAGAGGATAAGGTGGAAGTTGTTCTCTCTGTCGTGTGACAAATTCTGGGAAACCTTAGATAATACCAAAGTTCCAAAAGAAATTTCAACTTTCTAATACGATTAGGTAGTATACTATGGTAGTTGTAACGTACTCGTAATATTTAGGAAATCAAATCAAGTCATAAATCATTTATTCATATAAGATATTTTAGCCACTTATGAATGTAAACTTTTTCGTGTTAATATTTTTTCCTTACTATGAGGGTAGCGTATATGGTCTTTTCTAGTTCGGAAACAGATTCAAGTGAAAACAACTCCCTGTTTTTAATAAAATATATTTAAACAAAGTATTTTATTTACTAGCGGTCTAGTTTTTACGACCGATGGTCGCGGGTTACCTCGCACGGCACAAACATTTGTATTCATATATGATTGTTTGTGTCGGTCTGGGTAATAATATGTATGTATTTACTATCTATGTATTTGTATTAGTTGTCAGTGATATTTATTACTCTATTATTATTATTATTATTATTATTATTATTATTATTATTATTATTATTTACTTGAGATTTTATTACTTGCATATATGAGGAATGTGAACTTCATTACAGTGATATTATTACTCTATAACAATGTGTTTGTTGAAATGTTAATACGGTTTAATTGATGTCTCTATTCGATTGAAATATAACACCTACTGCCACTAATTAATTGTATATATATTCACCGTAATAATAATAACTGGACCCAATCGTACGAGTGCTCCTTCGTCCAATAACTTCTGAAATATGGCATCTTTTTCTAGGACAAAAATATATTTCGCAGACGATTTAAATTCCTGTATGCCTTCTACATCTTGCGGTATTAGAGTGCCTAGAATTCAATATAAATTATCATTAAATTAACAATTAAATTAGTGTTTATTGAATTCTATGTCTTTTATTGATACATGTCCTTTTCTCTATAAGATAGGAAAACTGTAAATACTACTTCATCACTAGAATAGACTAGAATTAATCGTATAGATCTACTTTAGGATTCAGTCGACCTGTAAGTAACTTGTAATAAGCGTCGAATTATCCACTTTATACACTTTTAATTGTACACATTATAAACTAGTTTAAAATAGATGAATTTCAAATTAAACTTTTCTTTGTGTATTTATGTTGTTTGTGATAGGTGAGATATACACATTACACACACAAGAGTGTGTGTCTTGTGTATATCTCATCTATTAATAGTATATCTCAACTACCATCAGTTGCAAATCCGTAAAGTACATATCAATTTATCCTGCTGAAATATGTTACAGCTTTTAATTTATTATTTATCTTAGTTAATTAGCTGTTCATATTATCTGCTTTGCGTTTCAAATTTCATAAAGCAAGGATTACCTACCACCTAATGTTGTACAATCGATTACAGTCCCATCTCTGTAGCGCATTGTAAGTGGGCCCGCGATTAAACCTTTGGCAGTAGCAACAATACCAAGACACCAAGGTGGTGACTCCAGCAAACAACACACATCCCTAACCGCTATGTCCAAGTTCGTCTGATTACGAAATCTCGTCACGTTCTGGTAAAACAGCTCCCTTTAAAATAATTCAAATTTCAATAATATTAAATAATCTTAATCTTAATATTAAAACTTTGAACCCTTTTTTAAGGCAATTGTGCATATAGAGGAGTCTACAATTTTGCTCACTTAGGTATATATAGTAAAGGAGTGCAATATGCTACTATTTTTTTAATTATACATAAAAAAAACATTACACACACTGTATTTGACACACGCGCATATAAACTCTTTTGTTTATTGTTAAAGTCTATGGTCAAATTGAGAATATATTAATATTATTTGTCTCGTATAGTCTTACTGAATGTTACTTTAATTATAGTGTAATTTCGACCACTAGGCGAGAACTAGAAAAATCAATATATATATTGAACGCTGGTTATATAAAATTAATGTCTCAAGTTATACCTTTCTATCTTCATTCCTATTTAATTTACAATATTACCAGTTAATTAATAATAATAAATTTTATTAAGCCACAATATGTTGTGATTGTATGAGCCTGGGAACTGAACTTTCTCATCTTCATTCCTATTTAATTTACAATATTACCATTATCACTATTTATATAAATTGTATTTTTTTGTTAATTCCACACTAACTAACATCTTGGAACATATATATCATTGTTATACTCCGTATGAAATGGTTTTCCATTCACGATACATATTAGATATGGAATATTCGTACATTTTCGTACTTAAAGTTCATCGTCACAACTTAAAATACACTATTTTGAAAATTACCTCCACTAACGTATAACGTCTCAACAATTAAAGAGATTGATGAAATATCGTGGAAAATGGAAAGAGCTCCACTGACAAGAGTGCGGCTCTTAAATAATGAATGAACGAAACTCTACTAAAATAAATTAACAAAGATGAGGTCAAAGTATACAAAACCTTCTTGTAACGATCAAATTTTTTAATAGTAGTTCATGTACTTTTGTTAAGACAAAAACTATTATATTGAATCTAGTTTTGTCTTCAGTGCTTGAATATGTAATTGTTGATTTTTTGGCTTCATTGAAAGATTTCAATGTAACACTGAAACAAATTAAAATAGTAATTTATTAAATTAAAACTAAAATAAATTTAGTCATTACACACTTATAAAATATTGATACGTACTGTATCGATAACATACATAAACATACCGATCTAAATCATATATGCAATTGCTCCATAGTCTCTGGTTTCTGATTACCATTTTGGGAGTTTCACCACTCTCTGCACTTTTGTTGACGTTGCTAAGTATCACTTCTATTTTTCTTATAAGAGATTTCCTTGCTTCATTTCTTTTTAAAAACGCGTCTGACATTTTGGCTGGAACTTTTAAATGCCGTTTAAATTACTGAGCAACGTACGTAATTTTGTAAAATTGTAAGTAAGTCTTTGAAGATGGGAAACAAAATAGAATGCCGGTCCTATCTCATTATATCTATCTACATATCCCTCAGTCTGTTTCGCCACATTTAATATAATTTTACATAGTTTCACTAAGATTTATAGTATCGTACTCTACTTTGTATGATTTTAAATGTTAGACAAACTAATAATCAAACTACTGGTATCTAGTATACGCTTGCTAAGAGCAGCGGTAGCGACAACCACTACCTGAGGCCTTTACTTAGAAATGAGCTGTAATTATCGCCTTACCCAATAATATCACTGTAGGTACCTAAGTAAGATGTTAGCCGTTTCAGATCGAAGCTTGGGATTATGGATGTGTAGTCTACCAATAATAGTAAAATATGTGCATACCTTCCTTTGATGTTAGCTTCAAAAGTTGCTGAACTTCATCAAACTCTAATTTCCTATCAGGCAATTTTACTGGCCCTCTAACAAGACTATGAAACTTTTCATGTCGATCTCCACAAAAAAGTTTATCAATAGCCGCTACTAACTTTGGATCTTGTCTAAATACAGTCACAGGCTTAAATCCCATGTCCTCAGTCAACACCGACAACTCTTTATTCATTAAGTCCATTCTGTAAAAAACGTATTTGATATCTTAAACAACCTACAAAGACAACAATTGATAAACAAGTCCAATGGTATTCTATTAAAATAAACTACCGGCAAAAGTGATGATGATCTCTACCTACCCAGTGGCGAGATGTTTATCAACCGCAAACAATAACAGATTCACAAAACGGAGCTCGTAAAAGAGGCACGAGAGAATAGGACCTCGAGTGTTTTTATAGCGAAGTTGAGCGAACAGGCAAACGGGACAAAATCGTCGTCGGTGGCGTATCCGACTAGCGTGATGTAAAAAAATGACACAATAGATTTAATCGAGAGATAGTCGAGGCAGGCGTCTCGAGGAGCAGATGACACGCCGTGACGACCTCACAAAAGGCGTGAAATGACGTCATAATAGCCTCGAATTATCGCCCCCTCTTGTCTCAAGGCAAATATTTAACAGCAACCCCGTTTTTGTCCTCATTCTTCGGCAGGAGATCATAAATTACGGGGTTACGGCAGACAAATGATGCGGACCGTTACCGCAGCGCTTTGTTACACGTGACATATTGCAACGAGCCGATGTTTATGTCTTATTACGGACTTTCAGGTAACTTATGGGTCGGCTTGGATATTCTTGGTTGGCCAACGCATTATTGTAGATACTTATAGTATTGTTAGTTATCTATGACACAGTAAGTTAGATGAAAAAAAAATTCACTTTCTACAACACCATCACCGTCAAATGTGAGTATTCTAATAATTAATATGAATTTACACAATAAAAAATCATATTTTTCTAGAGATTTAGAATATGTATTTGTATTTAAGGATATGCACAGCACAATTTATTATGCCCAAGAAAGCTCTATATCTTGTGTACTGATATAGCTCTTCAAATATCTCCAGTACAAAAATAGACAAAAAGACACAGAGCTTGCAAAAGTAATTTGGGGTCAAACATAAGTGAGACACAGTAAGAAAACACTTTCTACAGCTTTTTTTGTATATGTAAATAAGCTTTAAAATAAATTAAGAAATGAATACATATCTAAGTAACAACATTTTTGGTGCTTGATAGTGTCTACAAATTATATGTAATTATAAAATCACTTAAAAATGTAAACGAACCTCTAAAAATCGTATGAATTTGAATTGTGTGAAAGTAACCATTACAACAAGTTCCCATTGCAATCGTCAAGGCACCCCGAGGTGCGCCGATAGCATCGACTGGTGACAACCCGCACAAATACCATACAAATTGTTCAATGGCTCCTCCAAATTGATTGTTGCAATTATTCGGCAAACCCTTTCGCGACTCCGCGACCGCGGGGAGGTGAGAACGCACTTATCTATCGAATAGATCGCGAGAAGAGAACGACCCAACTCTTTGACGATGGTGTGAAGAAACAATCCACAGGGTCCGCAGTAGGGAGGCCGCTGCGGGACTCGGTTATTCGCCTTTCTTTTATGTCGCCATCAACTCTTGTTGATATCTTGATAAGGACGATTCGTTATTATGATTTACCGTTCAGAGACCATTTACTTGACAACCCAGTGGAAACCGCATAATTTATAAAAAAAATAGAGGCACATTGTCGTGTAGCTTTATAGTTAGTTCCGGGATTAGCTTACTAGTTACTAAATTAATATTATTTTCTTTATATTGGTAAGTCATTTTTAATACTCATGTGCACATATTACAGATATAATTGCGCGAACTGTACAGTAATCTAATGGCTTGCTGATTAAAAACAAATACTATAAAACCCTTGTATGTTACCAACTTTCCACAATATGGAAACTCTTGAATGGTCAGCGAAGCGTTGTTTAATGAAACAGTTATAAAAATAGGAAATACATTGGATGCATTGTGCGAGCGACGAGTGGAGGCCGCCGCTAGCCGCGGGGCGCCGGACCACAATGCACCACCATAGGGATATCGCGATGGACGATACGTTGCCACCTAATTGACTGCTCAAACGTTATTTTAATATCTTATTATTGAATCCAAATTTGGCGACTATTAAAATTTAATAGTTGAGTAGAAATTGTTATACTGAGATGTTATCGACCCGGTCATTGTTATAGTATCTACAGTTTGACTAACTTATATGAAGAAAGCAGTTATTTTGTAAATAAGTTTACGATTATAACAGTTTATTATATATATACGTATAAGCTTTACGTCTAAAGGTCACAATGGGTAATTTCTAGGTACCTACATTTGTAAGTAGTAATCTCTAATGTAATTATTACTAATTATTTATTTATCAATAATGACAATATTGTATTTTTTTTATTATCCAGTTCGGTACATAATAAGTACTACTTTTATGATATCCTAAATAATAATTGGAAATTAATTATTATATTTTTAAAAGGTTTAGTACAGCTATTATCATCATTGATGTAATGTCTAATGAAACTCGCAATGTATATGTATATACTATACATATATTGATACTTATATCATGCTTTACTCTTTAAAAATAATTACTTTTAAAATAAAACTGACTAGTTTACAGTTTGTGAAAGAAATTTTGAAGTAGATGTTGGGTACATTTTTTAAAATTACCTTCTATACCTACCTCCTGATAACATTAGTACTTACCTATACATTATATTACATATTCGATTCTGAAATGAAAACTTCCACGCATTCACCACAAGTGCCCACATCCTCACATTGAAATCGATTCGCTACCAATACAATAGTAACAGTTTCTCACATTAGAGTGGCTACTTACTTTTTGTGCTCAAAACAATACTTACAATTCAAATAAAAGCGATCGAAATACGTCTCCAATTGATATAATAAACTGCTGAAGAGGTAGAGGTACACTGTATTAAAGTTCTTATACTGTTACATTGTTTCTTTGTCACAATGAACACGATACATTGCATTTTCATGCCATTTTAATAGTTAACTATACGATTGGATACTATGGATTTATACCTAATAAAAAAATCGGTAGTATATGTTTAAACTTATTTTTTTTAAATTTACATTAGAACTATTTTTTACTTTTCATTTATAATAATATATATTGCATCCCATTGCGAGGAAACAATGTAATTTTATTAATTATTTTACATCAAAAATATTAATTATTGTACAACTAAAATATACAAGTACCCTTATATATATAATATCTTTTTTATTTTTTATTGTACAATAAAACGTGTACAAGTATCATACAACATTCTCTACCAGCTAACCTTTAGGTTTCAATGGATAGCGTTGTAGGCTAATATATCTTATAATTGAATGTTTACTTACTTGGACTTAGAGATATCTATTACATGCATGATATGTAGGCAATATCTATGTTTGTCTATTTTAGTTCTACTTAGTTGGAAAAAATTAGAGAAGAATTCAAATAGAGCCCATGTTATTAACATATCTATCTATCTATCCATTACAAACTACAAAGAAACTATTGGTAATATAATTTTGAAACAGTATAGTTAATTAAATAGCAAGTTATGTATACCGTACTACTGGATATTTATTTATAGCATATTAAACCGAAAAATAGACTGTATTTTTATTTATTATAAATTGATTAGAATTGCGTTCGAAATGTGTTTTCATGCGTGACCACAGAAAATTAATTATTTACTTCATTTAATGTAAGTATTACGTAAAATTATAGCAAGAAATTAATAACAACATTATAGTGTTGCCAGTGAAGTGGCGTCCCGTTGTGTCCCAATATTGTTGGACCATTTTCGTTCTCACCCCACTTCAACTGCGTACGCGCTGGAGCACATTTACATGCGCACAATACAACTGTCACATATTAAACGTTATAATTACGCCGCACATAAGATTTATAGGCGAAAAACAATGGCGCAAAAGTAAATTTAACCCCTTAGTTTATAATAATTCTGACGAAGTGCGTCCGCTCATTTAGTGGATAATTAATATGAGAATTCTCATCTCTTTCCCCAGCAATTAAAACTACTCTTTGTTGCATATCAAGTGAAAAAACAAACAATATGATGACCTTTTATATTTTAATTCTATTGAAATGCATTTTATTTGTTTTTTTTATCAGTAGAATTTCCAAAATGGTTTTATATTATTGGTATATTAATATATTTAATAATTAAATTTTATATTAACCCAGCCGCCATGAATACAAGTTTTATGTAAAATTAATAATTCAAACATCAATAATTATACATGACTCTTAAAGTAATATTAAAACAGAAGCATTAGCAGTATTCTTTATATGGTAATAATGTAACGTCACAAGTTCTTATCGATCATAAAACATTTATATACAGAATGCAATCTCATAGGTATTCGACTATACATTAGATATTTTTTGAAAATTGCAAAAAAATCAACCCTAGATTATATGCATTTAGATATGTGTAAAAATATCCTATTCATTAATGTATAACATCTACGACAGTACATTTCTAGACAGACAGACAAATCTGTTACATATAATGAAAATAATACTTAATGCATATTATATAAAAAAAATCACTATAATGATTATGTATATCAAAACCGTTTGTCTATTTAGTAAACATCAGCACCCCTACTATATATAAATAACTCTCATAAATTATAGACAATTTTATAGGTGCTTAACTACCGTCTCATTTATAGTCAGGTACAAAAAATCATAGCTAATGACGTGGTCTGTTTACCAAATCATGTTTGTCTAGATATTACGAGCTATGATTGTGATTCCAACTGAGCCATGTTTGGAGTTGCCGGCAGGTGACGCCGCTAAGCGCAGGTGTATACACATGCGCATAGAAATTAAATCTAGAAATTTCCACTAATCCTAGTAATTTACGATCCTATAAGTACCATGAAATCGATGCCATAATACACAATCATAAAACTGCAAATGTTTTTATCAAATACCAGTCGGTAGTTAACTAAATCGCAAACTACTTTTAAATTAATATAATATAATGCAGTAAGTACTTATTATTCTATCGCCCATCTTTGGTTTGATGTTCTAATTACTAATATACTATTACTCACTACTTAAC